TCAACAGATGGCTTCACCATCCCTCCTTTGTACATTCTCACTGTGAAGCAGCTACAGGAGCGCTGGACCAATGAGATTGAGAAGAATGTCATGATAGACATGTCAGACACTGGCTATAACAATGATCAAATCACTTTTTCAGTGGATTCAACACTTCCATCACTCTATGAAGAGTCACATCAAAGGATCTCATTATCTGCTTCTATTGGATGGCTTTGACTCCCACTGCACATATGAGTTCATTGATTATTGCAACAAGAATAACATCATCCCCTTCTACCTTATTTCACATACAAGTCATCTATTACAGCCTCTGGATGTAGGGGTTTTTTCAGGTGTTCAAGCATCATCATTCATTGGCAGTCAAAGAAGCAACAAGACATGGTTGTGAGAAGTTTACAAAAGTTGAATTCCTTCATGCCATCACCTCTATATGAAAGATGACATTCAGAATTAATACAATCAAGAGAGGATGAGAAGCAACAGGCCTGGTTCCATTCAATCCATCCATTATTCTTAATAAATTATATGAGTTTGAGACAACTCCTATGAGTCCATCTACATCTGTTTCCATCCTCCTTGACCTGGTATACTCCTTCAACTGTACATCAATTCAACTGATATAAGTGCAAATTGGAGGCTATGGAGGACATCAAAGACTCTGAATATATTCAAATTGGGCTAGAGAAGCTCTATAAGGGCAGTATCATGATGGTCAATACAGTGACTCTTCTTGCAGGATGAGCTTTCAAGAACTGCCGCAGTCACTGCAGCTTGTGAATGCTGCTGGTAAACATCCTGAAGAGTAGTAAATAAGGAAGGGGTCATATCCGCATCTAATATATGCAAGATGACAGTCATTCATCAAAAGCTTGATAATCAGGAGGCATTAGAGAAGTTGCACTCAAAATGGAAGAAAGTTATGGTGGAACTTAAAAACAATATTGTAGAGACAAGAGTATTAATGTTAGAGTCACCAAATTCACTAGGAAGAGTCATAAATGGATTGTCTACTGCATAAGCAAGTTGTATTTAATGGATCTTGCTACATTCATTGATAAATTAATTTAATATCCTGGATAAAATAATTTTCACATTGAGATGGTAGTTCACGTTGAGGTGGGGACCCTCGTATGCGAGGGTCCGACCGGAGGTTGATTATGAAATCAACCCTAGGGCCCGGTTAGATGTCCATGCGTGAATCTAAATTGTACGTCGTATCTGACAATGAATGTATGGGTAGCTGGTTCTTCTCCCACGACAACATTGTCAACAATTTGCTTGAACCTGTATATGGTCTACCTTCTTTAACACTTGCCAATGAATATCAACACAGTCTCGATCCTCTTCGCAATTTTCAAACTCATCAGTCTCTCCCGCTTTTCAGTCTCCCCAATCTGAAGCTTAGTACCACAACGAGCTATGTGTTAGGATCTAGATGGGATCAAGACTGAACTCCAATATGCTCCTATGCTATGGTTCACCCGGTTCTTCAATCCAAGGAAGACTTGCAGGAATATTTATTCACAGGCCCAGAACCTGCACCTTGAACACAGAACTGGTTGGCCTCAAACATTAATAAAACTTGAGTTCTGACGGAAAGGCTGAGGGGGGGATATATGGGGTGGGATTGGGACTGAGGTAAGTGTGGTTCATGAGAGCGTGCAATATATGAGAGTGTGCACCAAAACACTGCAAAAATGCCTTTTCGCTGGGGCATGATATGGTATCTAGTCCTTTATAACAAATTTTTAGCATCTCTGTTTTGTTCACAGAGGATACATTGATGTCTGAGTGAGATGCCTGAGATGATAAGATACATCCTGATCATGTTGACATGATAGTGTATAGAATTGCGCCTGTTTACGAAACAGATGTAGATGAATGACTTTTATAACTTCTATCGGTATGATATCAGACAGTATCAGTGACAGCTCTAACAGAAGCACCATGCATGATAAAGTTATTAGAGCAAATATCTCTGTTCTGAAGATGTGAGATGAAGCAAATATATCCTCTCTTCTTTCCATGTCTATAAAAATAAGAAAGTCGAGCTCAATAAGACATGAATGAAGCATGGCAGCTGTGATGAAGCCATAGCTGAAGACAAGATGAAGAGGTAAAGAAGAGCGAAGGTAAGGAATGGGTCTGGGTGCTCCCATAGAGCATAGTAACGGATTTGAAGAGCAGTTTTTTAGATTCTCAGACCATTCAGCTTGAAGCAACCTAAGAGACCAATATATTATATTATTATTATCCATGAGTTCACTTTTCATTAACAGTCTCGAGATATAAAACAGCGCAATGACTGCAGTGTAAGACATGAAGCATAGCTTTTAGGTAGAAACTTCATAATAGATAACATGGAGAACTCAAGATGAAGCACTTCGGACTGTCAGGCCACTACTCACTAGCATCATCAGAGTCCCCTAGTGCTCTCTTAGCCGACATACATAGAATGCACAACCGGATAGCAAGGACAGCCTTATCCCGTGAGAGGTGATGTAGCTTTTATTATTCGTGACAGAAAATCGGAAGGGCAATTTTATAGACATGAAGCGTGTGAACACCTCTTCTATCCGCAACGCACCGTTCGCTTGGATATGGGAGGTTGAAAAAAAAAAAAAAAAAAAAAAAAAAAGAGAGAGAGAGAGAGAAAAGAAAAGAAAGAGAAACCCATGCTCAATGTAACTTCATGCAAGCATTATAGCTGGCATTGAAGAAAAAAAAAAAAACATGGGCGGACAACGTAGGGCATAGGGGTTCCTTTGCGAACATGAAGATCCCTCATCATTTTCCTCTTTCTTTAGCACATGAGCGCCTGTGGGATATCCCATAGACACATAGGCAGCCTATATTTCGAAGGTGTATATACCATTTACCTGGGCAGGTAGATGGCTTCTCCCAATGCTCGCTTAATTAAAAACTATATAGAAGCTGTTGGTCCGGGTAGATGACTAGAACGAGCTCAAAACTTCCCCACTAATAGAGACCTGTGCTGGGAAACATCTTGCTTGTGGTAAAGAGGAATAGAAAATGACAGCCCCTCAAGCCAGTGGATGAACGATGAATGCATACGGATCAGAAAAGTGCTGATATAGAATCAAACACCCGTCATTCTGGATCGATTCTCTCTGGGTCAAATTTTCGGTTTCAAGCTTTCTAGTGGGAGTTTGACAGTGGAGTCACTCCACCTCATGTTACAGAAGCCCAGTTGATTAACAGTAAAAGCTATAGCATAGCTCTATAATGCTTGAAAAAAAAAAGGTTGAGAAGCACAAGACGATCCAGGACTGCTTGGAGAGGATTTGAAAGGGTTAGACATGGTTTTAAATGGGTTCATGGAATGGGGAAATAAATTTATCATAAAGTAACATGACCTATCTGGTCCATCTCATTGGTTAAATAAACGGTGCATGTTACAATTTTAGTAGAATAATTCTGATGCTTTAAAAGAAACATGGGTGGAGGGATTGATCCATGGAACGAAAGCGGGTAGGAACCTAATTCCCCTCATTTATTGCTGTCAAGCTTCCCGGAACTCAGGGGGAACGCAAATCAGGATTTTTGTTGGAAGTTTGTTAATAATAAGGAAAAAAGGGGCAAAGTCAATTGAGTCAGCTTGCTGGGGCCAGTAGGAAAGCAACAGAAAGTACGAGGACAAATAGGGATGGATAAGATGATGGAACTCTTCATTCGACGAGTGGAAATGAGTTGGTTGTTGGGGTCATAGATAGGTAGAAAAATCCATGGAATGTTCGTGGACTAATCCTCCTGGTTTTCTCCCTTGAACAGGCAGGCATTGCAGCTGAAAGACGATAAGAGAGAATGGAAGATTGAAGCAGACTGGCACAAGTTTCTCGGTTATCTATATCAGGGCTCGAATAAGGAATCGATCAACATTGGGGGGCCAGATGGAAGCGCGGTAGAGATGAAACATGAAATTACTCTACCAATCTGAAAATTCGCCTAGAGACAGGGAGAGTGGTTGGCTAGCTATAAAACCATCCCTGCAGGCTACAGCGCGAGGGGTTGTTCGTAACTTCAGGGGGTTAAGGTGATGCCGGCGTGTAACCCAGAAGAGAATGGCACAAGTTGTATTCGCACTCACGACCTTTTCCTACTCCGTACACTAAGGGATCTGTATAATCATTGATTTGAGGAGAAAGTATGCGTCATCAGAGGAATCTTGGAAGTAGTTTTGTTATTGGAAAAGATCAAATAATGGGCGTCCCATAAGGTGTAACAACTCCGTTCCAATGTGCCAAAAATTCAAAAATTCAAAAATTCAAAATTTCAGCCGGATCCTTGAGACGTATCATGTCGCTCCACTAACTTTGGAAACTATCCATAGAGTAACTAAAAGGGGCCAACCGGAGCATCCGCATGCAGCGCAAGCCACCACCTAGCTTGGACTTCAGTAATTAGCAAAGTACTCCGTAGTACTCCGTAGTGCTCCGTAGTTTTTAGCTAGCGGTTAACCAACTCGATGAGAGAGCTAATTGTTAATAATGGAGGCATGTCCGGTCGGTTCCTTGAGCCGCGGGCCGTTGAAACTGCGGCGTTTCTTCTTGGTGTAAGTTTAAAAGTTGTATTGATGCTAAACAAAATTTACGCGTGAGGACCTTTACTCAACAGTTAATGGTTGGTCAAAGAATCCTTTGATGGGCCCACTCTGTCGCCGCTCGAGGAAATTAATAGACTGTGGATTTCTAGAGCTGATCAAGATGATTATTTAATACGGGGGTAGAACAACACTTATTCAATGACGGAGAAGGGTTTGGGATACAGATTTCAAGTGGTCCTTCCGAGGCTGAGAAAATACGAGGAGAGGCCCTGGGTGTTATTTGTGATCAGTCGATCGGGATGATGTTCATGTCTAAACCTGAAACTCCCCGAAGTTCCCCATAAATCTACCGAATATATGGAGAACTACCACTGGAGACAATGCTTGCTTGGATTCCAGGAAAACTTTGAGATGCTTCCAACGTTGCAGCAAAATGTTAGGGTTGGCCTGTCAATTCTGCAAGAGCAGGAAAATTGATCGGCAGTTGTGGGAATCTGCTTCAAGCTGGGATGATCCGTGGGGAGTGGACCTTGGGTCATCATGGGCCAAAAATAAGCCAACCGAGTGGAGGTTGACAGGTTCTAGGTGGTCAGATGGCAGAAGGGGATGGAAATCTGGCCCCAGATTTCAAAATCAAATGCCCATTTTTGTATGCTGAAACATCCAATTCAATTGAATGAATATCCGTAGAACTTCCATCGTCATAGGGCCAGCCAGTCAATGTTCCCCGAGGGGGATTTGGGACAGAGCAGTCTCAGGTGTCGCATCCGGTGTTGAACCGACAGGCGGTTGTTGAATTTCGAACAAAAGTTCCCACATTATTTGTTCCCCACCCCAAAAGACCCATTCTTCCCCCCCAAAACAATGCCATTCTCTTTCCATCTTCATTCTTTCCGGCTTCAGTGGATAGTTTTAGCACAGACTACCTGCTGCAGCCCGGACCAGACGCCCGGTTTTTGCTCATCCCGTCGACCTAGTTGATTGGACGGACGTCGCAGATGTTATGTGAGGGGAACATTGAGGAATTCCCCGTCAGTTGCCATCACGCCCTCAGGCTCAAACTAGCTCGTCCAACTGCATCTCTAGCGTGAGACCTGGCTGTGCTGTTGGTCCAGTCGATTAGTATTAGTGTCTTGGCCATTGTTTGAGAGATTTCGAGTGCACATTGGCTGGAGGTCTCTCAGAGGCCTCTCAAAAGGTTTCTCCCCCCCCCCCATGATGCTCGAATTTCAATTGTCTGGGGGTGAGGGAGCTTTCTCGAAATCCCCTCCGCGCCGACCCCGCGCACAAACGGAGTGGGTGCTCCTGCAGAGTGCATGTACAGCACGGTTTGAATTGGAATAATATGGGGATGCTTAAGCATGATATGATGTCTGATAGATGCAAGAAACATAGACGGGCGATCACCCAGAATCAAACAAACCAGCTGAACCTACGAGTCAAACTACAAATGTTGCCAGTGGCAACTAATCAATCCTCCAATATCCACTCCCCAATCCCCATCCCAGACTCTCGGACCGCTGGGACCAAAAGCTTGGAAGAAGCTTGGTGGTCAACAGCTAATTCCAGCCACGCCCGAGCCAGTCTATTATTCTCTTTCTCCTTGACCAAGCTCTTAGCCTTTCGGTGCGGTTTGGACGGGGACCCTGCACGAGCTTTCATACAGTCTCTGTAGGAACCCGTGGACTGTACAACACTTGTCGGTACTCTGGGCTCTGGAGACACCTCAGAACTTGAAGGTGTAGATGAAGAAGAAGGATGAATATGTAAAATCAAGTCTAGTTGAAGAGATCAGTTAGCCATCATAGAGTATTCCCTTTCTGAAGCTACGAGTAGTTCTATCTGTGAGTTTCCCATTTGTTAAGCTGTTTTCCCCCCCACACCCCTTTTTTTCCCTCTCCATGATCCCTATCCCCTGCCCCATACATATCTCATCCTACGCTAGGCTGGGTCTCTCCTTTATGCACACCCGACCTCAACACCTGGGGACTGGGGAGTTGCGTGCATACGTGCATGCGGCAGCTATCAGATGAATAATAATCGTCTTCTCCTGAACACTTCTTTTTGCCTTGAGAAATATCCAACCGGTGTCAGTCACTGACATTGTTGTCATCATTGCCTCTATCTGACTGTCGCATTGATCAACCGCATTGATCGATGGATTGGTATGACTTGACATGATCACAACCTTAGAACTTCGCCATTCCCACGCTCTCTCGGGTACAAAGTTCGCTATCATAACTAACCTGAGACTTCTCAGCGATAAGCTACTGATCCAGACTCCAATCTCTCTGTGATTGTGTCCTTTTGCGTCACTTTTCCAGTTATTTGAAAAACACTCTCCTGTTCACAGTTTTTCTTCGCCACCGCTTCTCAGCTCCAGACTCTCCTCCACGAACCTCCCTCCCTCGATCTTCGGCCTGCCAAATTGCCAGATACGACATCACCACCCTACATCTCCATCCATGTAGCTCTCTGCTTACACCT